GGTTTGGCTCTTCATACTAACTAAATGTTTAGAATTCATTGCTTGAATACATGCTTTATCGCATGTCTTGAATGGAATCATATACCATGTTCATAGCCGAGCCTATTAAAATTACATAACTTGTATGTGTCGCATTAATCATACTGCATTAGTTAAAAGCATGCATATTTTCTAATTATTTTGCTTTGTTTTGGCTTGGAGTACTAGATGAGCAATTTTGAGCTTTAGCATGATGCATTGTGTGTTAGTGTTATAATGTCAAGCATGCTTTCCATGAGGCTAAGTGCTTAATTGATATATCTGGGTGAATGCCTATGGATGAAGGCTTATTACTAAAATTGGGATAAATTGATTAATGTGCATACGAACTCACATTTTCAAGTGACGAGTATCAAAAATAATTTTCAAACAAACATGAAATCAAAGCGTTCCAACTTTTGTTATACTTGTGTGCATTACTCAATAATGTTGGCTAATAAATCGGAACAAGAGCATATAATGTAAATAAAAATCACATCATGATTAATAGAGACCGATCTTTGATAGGGCGAGTGGGGTGCTCAATTCATGACCTCTCCCTCTCGTACCTAAGTTCCCGAGCCGAGACACTCTGGTAATGACGGATAAGTGGCATTTGGCACGAGTCACGGATTTCCTAAATTTCTCAAAAATATTTAGGTGGTGACTCTGAAATTTGGCAAAGCAGTCCATTTTTGGCTTTTGATTCAAACGTCGATTTTCTAAAAGAATTGCCAAATTTGGATTCTTTGTGTTTTCACTATTTCACATTACACTTGTGAAATCAGATTCAGAACCACGGGAGTCCGAACTATAAAGCTAGTCGTATCTGAAAAGAGTATGAAAAGCAAACTACAGAGGTGTGCTTTTGAACTTTCAAACAAAGTAAGTTTCCTTCAAAGGGATCTTTGTAATGATCTATAGTTAGAATATGGTTCTTGCCTATTCTTTCAGCATAAATAAGCACTATAAAACTAGTTCTTAGTTAAGCATTATAGAAAGTCCAAAAGTCAAAGGACTAATCTTACGCTTTTGCTTATACAAAATCCTTCGAAGGCAAATAGGATCGTTCTTAAGAGAAATTTTATGCTTTGAAATATCTGAGCCAGGCCTCGAAGCAAGATTGGTGCTGTTATTCACGCAGATTATATTAGCCATACGATTGGAGTGTGAAAACCTAAGATAAATACCATTACTCCTATGAAGAATTTTATGATTTGTAACATTTGAAAACAAGCATCAAAGCAATTTGGTTGCTTCAAAGTTGTCATTCACAAATTACATAAACAGAGTATGGTATAAAGCCATATTTGCCATGCAATCAATCATACAATTGGAATATAAAGCCAGACCATGACAAATGATGTTTGAAAAGCTCAGTTTTATTGATATGCAATATTTACGTTGGGAACACCTATTTGGTTACATTCTCAATTTCATAAAAGTAAGGAATGGATAAAGTCACAAGATCATGGAACTTTGTCCAGCAAAATTCAATAAATACATACTCTTTTCCTAACCTATCTTCCGTCCTATCTAAATTTGGTTTATCTAACTGATGAGCCCTTAGTTAGAAAAACAAATGCTGGGCTTTCAATTCAAATTATGTTTGTTTAAGAGCATTATCTATTTTATCCATTTCTCCTGCCCCATGTATTTCATCCATTGGGGTATCTCCTCTAAACTCTAAGTCTTGGTTCTTGAAGTTCTCATATTCTTCAAGAAGATTCTCTGCCTTATTTGAATACGAGAAGCAGAGATTTCCTCTAACAACTCACTGGTAATGGAAGCATTTGTGTGCCAGTTGAGTAGAAGAGGAAGTTGATCCAAGAAAGTATAAAGCTCTGCTTAGGCTACAAGGTTAAGGATGTGGCTTCAAGAGATAATATTACAAGAACATAGTAAGTTCTTGTGAGGAATATCATCTCGAAGAACATCAAAGGATAAATGAGAGAAAGCGGCAAGCAGAGTCTAGGCTCTATATGTTGGTAAGTAGTAGGAAGGACTAGAGCTTGGTAGAGAGCAAAATGCTAGCTCTCGAAGATTGTGAGTTTCAGTTCTTCAATCCAGTTAAGATTGGAAAGCAGGGAAGGAGCAGTTGGGTCCTCTCCAAAGGAAGATGGGAATTCAGGCCTGTTCACACATTCTAGCCAGTTAGAGGAGCAAAATTTTCCTTTTTTTGGCTAAGTAAGGGACTGAGTCCCAAGGATTCAACAGGATGTGGAGTATTTCGTACTATTCTAGACGGGCAAAGTGGAAATATACCATGCCAAAAGCAAGTTGTCTTCAAGGCTGCGAAGATGGTCGAGGGGGACGTATGGATATACTACGGAGCTGCACATGGAGGAATGGATTGCAATGGGGTCATCAAATTCAGGAAATCGATGGTGGATTCGCTCCCTTGTTTGAGGTTGAGTGGGTGTAGGCCAAGTTCCCGAGCCAGTGCTGGTAGAAGTGTTGTTAGAGGAAGAGTATGCAGCTTCATCCTATGCAGAAAGTTGGGAGGTAGAGAAGGAGCTTCCAAGATCAACTTTTGCAAGTTCTTGGTCTAAAGGTTTGCATTTGGCAGATTCTTGGTCTAAAGGTTAATAGTTTCTGAAAGCATCCATAACTTGAATAAATAGAGGCGGATAAGCATGGCCAATAAATGTATGAAGTTTCTTTCGAGAATGAACATCATTGTCTAATACCTCTTCGTATGTACGATCGATGAAAAGAAAGGTTTATTTGGCCATGGGAATTGTATCAGCCATTTCGAATACTTAGATAGTGGAAAATGTTCAAGCACAAGAAAGAATTTAATGCAACTTAAGTGCTTTGTTTATGGAAGACGGTTGCATTTCTAAGAAGATGCAAACTCCATGCACATCCTGGGACGTGGACAAAGTGCATTGAGTCCACTAATATCACCAAGTATTGGGTATATTAGTGCGGGAGGTAATGTTGACTACATATTTTGTAAGAGTTAATCGTAGCAACACGTGGTACATGAGGGGCAATTCAGGGAGTTAATACAAGTCTCCAATCAAAGACAGACACGTGGCAGTTCATATTGGTTATAATGGATCTGCGCAGCACTGGGAAAGCTAGAAGGGGCAAGATGACGTGGCCCAACGGTTACATACGAATTCAAATTCAAAATCCAAGAGGGAAGCTTAACTACAAGAATGACGTAGTAGGACTGGCTGTGAGAGAGCATGATCAGCAATCGTGGAAGGACATTTCGATGGTTGGAAGCCCACTTCGACGATTATCCTTTGAGAGTATAAATAGTAGAGAAGGCCCCAAATTGAAGGATCCAGACTCAAATCCAGAAACCAATCATTTACTTTTTATTTTCTTTCCAGTTTTTTATATTTTCAGTTCTTTACATTTTCAGCACTTCAATTCCTGTACTGCACTTCATTTCGTAGGAGTAGTTTCAAGTAATTGCTGTAAATCTTTTCAAGACTAGGTCATTTCATTGTAAGTTCTCATTTACTCAATGAAATTTAGTTTCTAAATTGTTCTGTACTTGTTATTTCTTATAAATTTCTCCTAAAACAAACTATCAGTAAAAGTCCTCTTCATTGAGACTACAAAAACTTCAACACAATCGTCTGATAATTGGTTGACAATTATAAATTCTGTAAAGACTTATTGATCATTGCTGGCATACTTAAAATTACACAATTAACCATCGAAAGTCAAAAAAATCAACAATAACTAAAAAGAAAAATAGTATAACATTAATTTTCTAAATCATAATTAAAAAATATATATATCATAACTAAACACAATATGAAATATAACTAAAAAATTTATGTATTATAAATAAAATAATATCATAATTAAAAAAATAATATAATTAAAAATATATATAATATATTATTTTTAAAAAGGTATATATTAAAATTTTCCCGAAGGGAGCGTGAATCTCATGCTTAGGGGTGGGGTGTAACGTAGCAAATAAAAAATTTATGGGATAGGTGACTTCCCATTGGTTGGATGACACAATTCTGTCCACGTTTATAAATCGTCTGTTCCCCGGACGCTATTTGAATTCTGTTGGCCCAACATACTATCTTTTTTCAAAAGGAAAAGTTGGGATTCCAGTATTAGAATTTCAGAAGTTACTTCAAATAGATACCCTTTCTATTCAAAATAATAGTCATTTTTTAAAAATTTAATTTTTTTTAATAATATAATTATTACACTTTAAAAAAATTAACTTTTCAAAATTATCATTTGATAATATATTTTTTGAAAATATGAATGTCATAATTATACTTTTTATATTGTTAATGAATTTAAAAGAAAGAGAAAATAATTATACTTTTTATATTGTTACTGAATTTAAAAGAAAGAGAAAATGAAAAATTTATATTATTTCTGTACTTGATTTTTGAAAAGGAATTAATATTTTTAGATAATAAAAAATAAAATAAGGAACTAATATTTTGAGATTGAGAGAGTAAATGCGATAAAAATTAAATTAATGAAATAAATTTGAATTATTAATTAATATTTTTGAATAAATTTTGAGTAGATAATTTTAAATTTGTAGGGTTGCTGTTAAAAAAAATGAGTAAATTACAAACACACTTCCTGTGATTTATTTAAATTACTAATTATTTCTTGTAGTTTTAGAAATTACATTATGTTCCTTAAAATTTTAAATTTCATAACAAATAAATTATTTTATTAATAAATCATGAAGTTAATTAATCGTTTTTAATAAAGTTAAAATTTTATTTTAATTAATAATTCAGATAATTTTATTATTATTTATAAATAAAATTCTAATAAAAAAATATTTATAATTTTTTAAATCATAAAAGATAATTTATATTTTAAATAAAAGTAATCGTACGCAAGTGTGAATGGTGCACTGGTCATCCAAGTCCACATTCTTCTCCCCCATTTATTTTTTTCCTTACTTACCCTCGAAGTAACCGCGGGATTCGTTGCAGGTTCGAATAAAATAAAATAAAATAAAATAAATAATCAGATTACCAGTTGTATCTCACAATTGAGACCATTCTTCGTCTCTGTTTCTTCTTTCTTCTTCTTCTTCTTCTTCTTCTTCGATTTTATGTTTATATTGAAAGACGATTCGATCAGTATTATCAGTAGTTGTACGTCTATCTATAGAACAGTAGTTGAAAGACGATTCGATCAGTATTAATTAAAAAGAATTATTATTAGGTGGTATAAGGAGTAGTTTTTGTTGAATCTCGATGGGTGAATCTGGAACTCCAGAGAATGGGATTGCAGTGGGGCAAATCGATTGGGAACATATGTTGGATAACATTGTTCCAGAAGACCTGAATCTATTCGATCCCTCTCTCATCCTTTCAGATATGTCGGATTCGCCTCCCGATTCGTTGTGTTTGTCGATCGGGGAGATCGAGCAGATGTTGATGATGGAAAACGACAACGAGGTACAATTTTCAAATGATTTCTTGTCGGAATTCCTTCTCGACTCTCCTCTTCAGTCCGATCACTCTGCTGAAGTCGTTGATCTTCATCTCAACACTTCTTCTTCTTCTTCCCCTGAGGAACATGAGGCGCGCCACAAGGTCGATGACCTCCCTCACAACAACATCAACAACATCATCAACAACAACAACAACAACAACAACAACAACAACAACAATGGAGATGCTAACGACGATACTGTTAGCAAGAAACGACAAAGGTACCATTCATTTACCTTCTTTTTTCGCTGTGCTGGTTATTAGGGTTTCTGGCTGACGTTTGTGCTTAAACTCGTGTTCTCTGTAGCAAATCCCAATTTATAAAAATAACAGACATCCTTTAAATAACTGCTAATCAAATTTCAAAACCAACACATTTCTCATTCAATAAACAATCCAAAGATTTAGATATAAAATTGCACAAAGCATATCTTGTGAAGAGGCCCCTCAACAAAATAAACATTTTCTGTTCCAAGTTGCTGGGAATTTTTTAAAAATAAATAATGTAGTGTTTAAAAATTGATTTTAGTGGGGCATTTATAAAATTTCAGCATGGGTAAATTAGAAAAATCTTGAAACTTCAAAAAAGAGGGGAGCTCCTCTGGGTAATAATTGGCTCTGGCCTTGCGTGTTCTCACAATGGAATTATTATTATTATTATTATTATTATTATTATTATTATTATTATTTACAACCTGCTTATTGTGATAAGGGCCACTGAAGTACATTCTTGTTTTTGTTTGTTTGTTTGTTTACTTGGCTTTGTGATTGCAAATCCTTTTTTATAAGATAGCCATAATTCAATCAACTTGTTATTTACAATTTGATTTCTTCCTGTATTTGTCGTAAGAAGATTGTAGTTGGAGGTTGTAGGGCTTTTTATTGATGTAGAGTGGACTTTGTTAATGAGTTCTTGTAAATTTTGCATTTTTTTTTTTGGACAGGCAATTGAGAAATCGGGATGCCGCAGTGAGATCAAGGGAGAGGAAGAAGATGTATGTGAAAGATCTTGAGATAAAGAGTAGGTACTTAGAAGGCGAATGCAGGAGGCTGGGGAGGTTGCTCCAGTGCTGTTTTGCTGAAAATGAAGCTCTACGCCTTTCCTTGCAGAATGCCAAGGCCTTTGATGCTTCCATGACCAAGCAGGAGTCTGCTGTGCTCTTGTTGGGTATGAATCATGAACCTCCTCTCCCCTGCTCTTTCTTTCTTTGTGTGTTAATCTTTTTATGCTATAATGGGGCTGTTTGGGAAGTGGGATTTTAGCCCAATTTAGACTAAAATCTACAAAAAGACAAAATAAGCTAAAATAGTTAATAAGACAAAATGTCACATTAAACCCATAATCATTTTATTTTTTCTCTCACAAACATCACATCTAATTACAAAAAAATCTAATCATTTTCCCAAACATAAACTTACTAAAATAGCAACTCCCCAAACACCCACAATTTTGTTTTGTTGGAGGGTTTTCCAGCTCTAACCTATCCAAGCAATAACAAGTTCTTTCGTCTTTTGAAGAATCAACCTATGATTGTGGCAGTTCTTGCATACCGGGTATGTTTGTTGCCCAGTTGGTGGTAGGTAGGCAGAATATATTGGTCTGTTCGAGCTCATCTAGAAGGGGTTTGCAAGTCTTGAGTTGGACAGCACAATGAAAGTTTTACGCTAGTTCTGAGTTACTAGCTCTAGCAAATACCAGACATGATCAAGCATTTTTCTATTCCTTATGACTTTCATAGATGCATCAATATCAATCATTGATTACTGAATACCCTGTTTATGTAGGAAGTAATAATGTCCTCCAAGTTCTTATCTTAAATTTGGTCTTCATCAAGAACATGACCAGTTTAGGGTCAGTTTTGAGTTACAAAGATTTACCAAATAATGAACCTGATAACCATTATTCTCTATGCCTTCACCTATCATAGCTACATTAATACTAAACCACGATTAGATTCGATACTGAATACCTTGTTTTTGGTAGAGGATAAACTTTGAGGAACAATGTCCTTCTAGTTCATTTACGCCGTGTTTGGTTGGCAGATTTGAGAAGAGATTTGGAAGGAAAAAGTAAGTAAAATGTGAATAAAATATACTTACATTTTATTTAGTTTCACACACCTTTTTCCTTTTCCGTTCTAAATTCCTTTTCAAATTCTCCAACCAACCACAACATTAACGTCCGATTAGAATTTCTTCCATCTTATATTTGATGTCCATGTAGAATTGGCTAGATTTATCAGTCTCTTCCCAGCTTGTTTACTTCTTAATGGACCTTTTGAAGGCTTGAATTTATACGAACTGCAGAAATAAAGCCTTTATATCCTTCACTAATTTTTTTGTCCTTTATAGACATGTTGCAGTTCTCATTTTGTGTATGTCCTTGAATCTTTAGTTCCAAGGCCAGACAACCTCCTTCTTAGTGCTACATTTTCAGCCTATTAAGAGTGACATCGTGGATTGAGCAGTGAAGACAATGTTTGTCCTAATTATTCCCTTTGATCATTCTCATTGTTGTATTTCCTTTCTGCACTTGAAGAAAGGCATTTACGGTAAACTAGGTTAGCTGGAATTCAACATGCAATAAATTATGGTTTTTCTCCCCTTAGAGCCTGAAAAAGGTAACTCAGATTTGCAGTAGCTTTTGCAATTCTTCTACAGGATTGAAATTTTTTAGGGCCTCTCTTAGTACAGTTGGTGACACTGTCTTTCTATATTGGCTGCAATTTTTATTGTTGCAATAGGCCTTGACTGATGTCATGGTTCTTCTTGTTTAAAGTTTATTCATCCATAAATTGGTTTTGCATATGGATTAATAATTTGCCTTTGGTTTTTACAGAATCCCTGCTGTTGGGTTCCCTGCTTTGGTTCCTGGGCATTGTTTGCCTGCTCATTCTGCCCCGCTCACTCCAGTCGAGTCTGGAAGCAGTTTCACCACAAAACGTAGACAAGAAAAGTCGGGTAAGTCAGGCTCCAAGAAGGCCAGAAAGTAAGTTACTTCGACTGAAGGTGTTCCAATCTTTTATGGTGTGTAAGAGATGCAAAGCTTCAAGGTCGAGGATGAAACCGAGTTTACTTATTCTGGAAGTTTAGGTGGTGTGACTCGAGAGCCATTTTACTCTGCTTTTGTCTCTCATGTTTTATGGTTTTGTTCTTTAGAGAAGTATTGGAGGGGACTTCCCGCTACTAGATTATAATAAGTATGTTAAATGGAATTATCTATGAGAAGTCTTGAAACCCAAAAATAGTTTTTGTTAATTGTGCTGTTCACAAAAAACTTTTTTGATTAATTATCTGTGGTTATGCTGCTTTCAAATGGTAGGTAATTTTGCTGTTTTTAGCAACCAGATATTGCAGTGGTAGTTTCAATTTGTGTTAAAGTGAGATTTGATAGAGAATTTATTTACTCCATCAGTTTCAAAATATTGGTCCCTTATTCTATTTTTTAAAATATTAATTTATTTTCAAAAATTAAGTATTAGAATAACATGAATTTTTTTATTTTGTTCTTTTAAATTTATTAATATTAATATTTTTAAAGTGTAATAATTGTATTATCAAATGGTAGTTTTAAAAAATTAATATTTGTTGAAGGTAATAATTGCATTATTAAAAAAAAGTTGAATTTCTGAAAAAAAGAAATTAATAATAATAATAATTTTGGAACATAGGAGTATTTATTTATTAGAAAAAAAAAAAAAGGTTTTCTTATTTGCATTTACTAAAAGATGATAGCTTTTGTTTGTTTTTGGAGGTAGAATGAAGGGGATTGATAGTGAGGGAATTGATCGTGAGGGGATTAGTAAAATTGTATTTATTTTAATGATAGTTGTTAGTATGGAGATTGTTAAATTATTTTTATGTAAAATAAATATAAAATAATAAAACAAATAAAATATGATTTTTGTTAAACGATTGTTGAATTATTTTTATGTAAAATAAATATAAAATAATAAAACAAATAAATTATGATTTTTGTTAAACAAAAAATATAAAATCATTAGACATTAATGTTTCAAAAAAAAAAATGTCCAACATGTAAAAAAAAAAAAAATTAAAAAAATTATAGTTGATCGGTTGATTGGCCGAATGTTTTGGCGGACAACTGGTAATTCATTAAGCCAACGGATTATTTTCTAATATCACCTCTTCACTTAGACTAACAATTTATTCGCCCAAGGCCTATCTTAGTTCGAACGAACAGACTATCAATTCAGAAGGCACAAACAAAACAAACGTGAGTTAAGCTCATTGTTCATCAATCACAGTCCGAAGTAGATTGTTACTTCGAAAAACAAACGGGGCCGGAGAGCTAAGACTGAGAAAAAATATTTTGGTTTTTAACTTTCGTTTGGGATGTAGGTTGATTGTTTGACTTTTTGTCTATTTTAGATACATGTTAAAAAGTCTCGTTTGAAATAGATTTTTTGACTTTTGTGAAACAAAAAATAAAATAATTATAATTTATATGTGATATTTTATTTTATTAATTTTTTAATTTATGAAAAAGAGCACGAGATCGTAGAGCCGCCCAATCAGATCACACCCACAATATATATATAGATCATAGAGCTCAATCGGCTGGAGAATGGAGAAGTTTAGAGAGAGAGAGACATGAGCTTTGATTTGGTAAGGTTAAATTTCTCTGTGATATGTTCAGGGATCTTAGACATCAAAAAATAATTTTGTGGATCTCTTCCATTATGAAAAGTGGAAGAGGGACCCTTCACTAATTTTCCCTTTATTTATTAGAAAAAAAAAAGGTTTTCTTATTTGCATTTACTAAAAGATGATAGCTTTTGTTTGTTTTTGGAGGTAGAATGAAGGGGATTGATAGTGAGGAAATTGATCATGAGGGGATTAGTAAAATTGTATTTATTTTAATGATAGTTGTTAGTATGGAGATTGTTGAATTATTTTTATGTAAAATAAATATAAAATAATAAAACAAATAAATTATGATTTTTGTTAAACAAAAAATATAAAATCATTAGACATTAATGTTTCAAAAAAAAAAATGTCCAACATGTAAAAAAAAAAAAAATTAAAAAAATTATAGTTGATCGGTTTATTGGCAGAATGTTTTGGCGGACAACTGGTAATTCATTAAGCCAACGGATTATTTTCTAATATCACCTCTTCGCTTAGACTAACAATTTATTCGCCCAAGGCCTATCTTAGTTCGAACGAACGGACAATCAATTCAGAAGGCACAAACAAAACAAACCTGAGTTAAGCTCATTGTTCATCAATCACAGTCCGAAGTAGAATGTTACTTCGAAAAACAAACAGGGCCGGAGAGCTAAGACTGAGAAAAAATATTTTGGCTTTTAACTTTCGTTTGGGATGTAGGTTGATTGTTTGACTTTTTGTCTATTTTAGACACATGTTAAAAAGTCTCGTTTAAAATAGTTTTTTTGACTTTTGTGAAACAAAAAATAAAATAATTATAATTTACATGTGATATTTTATTTTATTAATTTTTTAATCTATTTTACCTTTTTATAACTATTTTATTTGGCGCAGTCATTAATACAAAGGTAGAGGAGAATCAGGGTCGTTGGGGCTTGCTCGCTGGTGGATTGAATTTTGAATGGCATAATCGACGGCCATATGCTTGATTATATATATTTTGAACTCAGTTTAGCTGCCCTTCCCTATTTATTAAACATGGAAACATGATTTTACAACACAGATTTAAAGTAGACATGAATTCGTTCCAAAAAAAAAAAAGCTGACATGAATTAGCAAGAGACTTGAGAGAGAGGTGGGACCAATAAACTTGAACACGTGTGGGGATATATTTTTGAGTACCGACACGTGGCAAGATGACGCCGATGTGTCAGTCGAGATGCCACGTGTCAGAGTCATAACGCCGAGGTTATCTCCGAAGATATCGGAATCCGAGATAAGCGGATAAGAGATAAGGGACAAGAGTCCTAGAATAAATAGGAGACTTAGCCAAGATAAGGATAAAACTCTTAGGGAGTTTATCTCTATCTCTAAAGGAATCCAAAGTAAGTATTAAATAGGAATCCATAGAAGTCAGGCTTCTATTGGGATTAGGATTGAGGTAACTATAAAAGAGAGGCATCCCCGTGGGTCTAAGGTACGCAATTTCATGCTTTGAGCATTGAGTTTAGCACTTGATTTATCTTTGAGAGATATACGGACTTGATCGTCGGAGTGCCCCCTGGTGGTCGAAACCATCGCCGGAATCTTCTCTTTCTGTTGCAGGTCAGCCAGTTGCCATCTATTTTGCCGGTGCTCTCCAGTTGGTTACTAAGCGGGCAGTGTGGTCAGAAAATTACTCACACAATTTGGCGCCGTCTGTGGAAACGAAAGTAGAATAGATGGCTAGCAACGGACAGAAGGAAAAGATTGGGGACGACACTCCTGCTGGGAGTGGGAGACCTATTGACCTCGATGGCGAAGGAGAAAGGTCGAACGCAAAAACTCATGAACAAAATCACGGAGCGAAAGACGTCGGCCAGACTAGCAACGCACCAAAGAAACCTGATCAAAGCAGGTATTACAACGAAGACGACCTCCATGTTTGGAAGGATAGGTGCCTATGGAGGGACGAAGAGGTAAAAGAGATGGCAAACAATTTGGCAGACCTGCAGTCGATCGTCAATTTCATGATGCAAAATAACGTCATGCAGCCAGCATACCCGCTGCACGACACGCCGATTCCAGCGGCCAATACCTAGAAGGGAGGACAGAAAACAATCCCCGTAGCCCCTTAGCACAACAGAGATGAGAGATACTCTCACCGACCTTCTAGGAGGACGGACGAAGAGAATCAAGAAGAGAAGGATCACGGAGGATGCATCGCACAAAGGAGGCAGACCCCAAAGAACATCGGCATGTTCAGGGGCAGGCACTGTGCTTCGACACAACTCATGGAGAAGGATCAAAAAGGGCTCACCATGAGGCCGAGAGTAGTATACCGAAAAGACTGAAGTCGAAAGATAGCCGAGCTCCTAGGCGGAGCAAAGAAGACTTAAGAGATTACTTTAAGAGGAAGCAACAGAATGCCGAAGCCGAGGTAACCTCTCCAGATAAGCTGAGGACACCATTCTCGGTGGAATTAGATAGATTTGAGGCACCAAAGCGATTCAGTATGCCGAGGTTTTAAATATACGATGGAAAGTCAGACCCCAACTTTCACGTTGGACTATATTTGAATTCAATGGCATTATATAGTGGAAACGAGCCGTTGCTCTGCAAAGTGTTCCCCTCATCCTTCGGGGAGATTGCATCAGATTGGTTCCACAAACTACCGAAGGGAAGCGTGAAGACTTGGGAAGGCTTGGCTAAGATGTTTGTGGCCAGGTTTGTGACAAACAAGTTGCAGCCATTAAGGGTGGACGCATTAATGGCTCTGAAGATCAGCAAGGATGAAGGCCTTAGGGCCTATGCAAAAAAATATTATGAGGTGTTCAATCGAATACCCGAATGTAATCAAAAGGTGGCAGTCGTATCTTTCAAGAACGGCTTGAAAGACAACTGTCCACTACGAAAGTCTCTGGCAAAGACATTGCCAAAAAGTATAGAGGAGCTCATGGCGAGAATCGAGAAGTACGCCAGAGCCGAAGAAGACACGTCATGAACCAGGGAAATAAAACAAGAGAAAGGAAATGGCTCGCCGAAGCGAGGCCGAGGTAACAACGGAACGAGCAGGCAAGAGGCAGAACTGAGGGCCACACAAGCAGTAACAACTATGTTTCGAATCCTAATTCCCAAAATCCTGGATCAAATTCGGAACCAGCCCTATTTCAAAACACCAGAAAGGACTCCACGAGAGTTCATGGGAAGAAACATTGGCAGGCATTGTGCCTGCCATAATGAAGATGGGCATACAACTCAGGGTTGTAGAGCCCTGAAAACATATTTGGAAGATCTGGTGAGACAAGGACATCTGAGAGACCTTGTCGATGAGACCAGAACAAAGGAAGAACGGGCAAGATTGCCTCAGGCACCAGCAGCCCCACCTCCTCTAGCACAACAGCCGCAGGCAGGAGGACCTCGGATAATCAACGTAATCCACTCGAAGGTCAACGAAAATGAAATCCGAGAAGAGACCCAGAAAGTGAAGCACCTGCAACATGTCTATCAAGTCGGGGAAAAAAGACATCGGGCAGAGGAATGCCAAGGACCAATGATAACCTTCACTGAAGCCGACCTAGAGATGGTCCAGTATCCGCATAATGATGCCTTGGTAGTATCCCTCCAGGTTGAGGAGTGCCAAGTGAAACGTATCCTGATTGATCAAGGCAACTCTTGCGACATCATGTACGTCCGATGTTACAA